TCAGTGTCGGCCGGCATTAGCCCCGGCGCCGTGATCTGCGAGCCGTACAATGCGCCGGGGAAAGTGTTAATAATCCCCCGCGGGGGTGCGCGGGCGAGCGCCCCGGGCAAGCTGGGGCCACCGAGCTCCGGGGCCACTTGATTGGCGACAGGAGTTTGTTTGGAAACTGTAGGTCTTGGATGGTTTCATTTTTGTTTTAAAAGTTTGTAGCTTCTCTCTATAGATAACCCCAGGCAAGCGATGGGTTTCTAGCGCGTAGCAGGATCGGTGCAAGATGGGCGTGCGGGTTCCCGCGATGGGCGCTGGGAGGTGGTCCTGTCAGAGCTAAAAGTGAAGAGGAAAGACCGGTTGCGGTGGGAAGATTAGGGAGTTGGGGGTGTGCCCTGACCAGCAGGCATGGTTGCGAGCACATGCAACCAAAGATAAATCCTCCATGAGCCTGTCTTTGATTAGAAGAATGATTGGAATTAGGCATAGTACTGTCTCTCCTGATCTATATCATCTGTATCTGAACAAATAAAGCAGTTTTGGGGAGAGAGAAGAAAAAAACAGATTTTAATCTTCTTTTGGTAGCCAATGTGCCTGCCCTTGGAAAGGGCATATTTTGCCCTGCCTTAGAGTACCCAGGCTTGTTGACAGTAAACAACTGTCACTTGGCAGTTTATGAAAGAAGAATGTTTAAGAAAACACATCCAGTTTAAACAGTTATGTTAATAGGCTGAGGATCCATGCAGAACTGGGGGGCCTGGTAAAATGGAGGTGCATAAACTAACTGGTACTTGGTGCCTTAGAGGTGAACTACAAGTGAATGCAGTTGAGAAGCAAACAAAATCAAAAATACGTTTATTTTTACAGCCAGTGTGTTATGTGTGATTTCACAGCTTTCTGTGAAAGCACTATTTTTTTTCCCCCAAGAAAAGCTTGGAAAGGCTCCTTGCAGCGTGAGGTGGGTTGGGCCCTGGGAGGCCCCTAGGTGGGACAAACCACAGGGCTAGGAGCCCAGCACCTCCCGCTGACCAGCCCTAATGCTGCTTCACGCTCCGTGGGCAGCACCTGGACCTTGCAGCCACCCTGCCGTGTCCTTAGCCCTTGCTTCACGGGGGCGATGGTAAGAGGAGGCTGCAAGGAAACTCTGCCTCCCAATTTATGAATTGATTAATTACAGAAAGGAAGGGGAAAAAAGAAGTAAGAAATGGCAGATGGTGTCCTCTCTGCATCCCTGCCCAAAGTTGCTACAAATCCATCAAGCACCTTTTCTGCTGAGTTAACCACTCATGAATGTAGTGAGTGATGAGCAAGTGTAAAGCGTTTATTCCAGCTCGGCCCAAAGGCATCAGTGTCAAAAACATAATGAGGGAGGACCTGGTGTCAGGCACTTCAAATCTGTAATGAAGCATAAAAATAAGTTTGAGGCTTTCCAACTTCTTGAATTCCTGGCTTAGGAACAAGAGTGTAAGCTGCTTTTGGGGGCTGCTGATACAAGCATTGAGGATTCTTGGTGAAGCAACCTTCCTGCATCCCCAGCTCCCACCCCAGCTGGGATACAATATAGATACAGTAACTACTGTAGTGCTTAAATAAATACAGTGTAAGTACTGTGTTACAGATACTCACTCTTGTCTGTCAGCCTTGAGTGTATCTCAGAGAGGGCACCTTGACAGTGGGACTTTCTCTTGCCCTCATTTCATGTGGAGCAGAAAGAGCTGCAGCAGCAAACGGGAGCCCCTTGAGTGTGGTTGAAAGGGTCACACCTAATTTTCTTTTAGCCAGTGGTTCAATTAGTATTGCTATTATTTTGACAAGGAGACAAAGGAAAACCAAACCTAAAGTGTCCTGCTGCAGAAATGCTTTGAGATGTGCCCACAGGAAAAATAAAATAACTCCTAGAAAGTGTTTATTGAACTGTACTGTGACTCCAACCTGTGTATTATTTAGTGAAGGAATGAGATTTCTGTCTCAGTGTTATGTGTAGGCATGCTGGTATCTTGGGATTTGAGAAAGCAGTGGGTTTCTCCATCAGCAAGGTGTTTGTGGAGGGATGGGAACCACAGAGGTGGCTGGAGGCAACAGCAGGGGTTCTCCTTTGTAGAGGCAAAAAGGGGCAGGTTTGTACCCACCACTCCTGTTCCGGTGGTGGATCCTTGGCTGAGAAACTGGGCTGCCCACCTAGTCCTGGATCTGGTGGTCCCACGCAATGTAAAACCTTCCTGCAGGGAGCTGTCTGCACGCTCTGAACAAGGTCATCTTGTGGGTGGAATGTGCTGGTCCTGGCAAAAAGGGCCTGAAGCCTCCTCAGGTGCTTTCAAAATGTTTGGAGGTTTTCTCCCCCTCTGCTCCCCTCCTCCCAGTGCATAGCAAATGAGGTGCAAGCAGATAGGGCAGTCTTTGCAGGAAAAACTTCACCCCGAGGTTGAGCCTGGCCAATCTGGGGATGAGAACAGTTGGAGGAGCAACATGTGGTGTCTTGGGGCAGGGAGGAAGAGAAGATGACCCTGAATTAGCCACCCACCCTCAGAAAGGGAGTGGAGGGGCTTCTCTGTGCAGCTCTTGCTCCATTTGTGGGTGTATACATCGACATGGGGAAGCAGGTATAAATACGTGGGGAGGTTGTCCAGCTGCATGTCTTCACTACTCGTAAAAGGTGGTTCATCCACCCTTCCCACTTGAGCACTGCAGGAACATAGCTTTGGCGCCTGACTTTGAGACAAATCCAGCCCTTGGGTGGCTGCTGGGCTGAATTTTTATCATCCACCTTTTTTATCTGCCAGAGAGAAGTGGCTGTTTGCTTTCTCCCTTGGCTTACCTGTTGCAATGACCGTCCTTGCTGCCACAACAGCGTCCATCTCGCTTGGACACTGGCGTGCTCGTTCACAGAGAACGAGTTTTTGCAAGTGTTTCTGGTAGGGGAAGGAAGAGAAAAGCTGAGAAAGTCAGACTGTGGAGTATAGGGCAGGTGTTGAGAAGTGCCTGGGAAAAGGTCCCCGGCTCGTGCGGGTAGGACCAGCCACGTCCTGCTGCAGAGCACTGGTAAAGACCCTCTGCAGAGGGTCTGCCTTGTGCTAGCATTAAAATAGCTGTGTGCAGAGGTGTATAACCTGCTTCTGGCATTACTTGAGCCTAACAGAGCACAGTTTGTAGAAGATGATTATTTGTGGGCATTAAAACTGTTTGAAGGGAGTGGGAACCGAGACACGCATGACTTCCTTGAACTCTCTCTTAATTTATTACGTTCAGTCCCAAACCCACCGTAATAGGTAGGGTTGCAGGAGACCATTAAAAGGTCTGTTCTGGTGAACCTGCTGCTGCTGCTGGAAATGATAAAGCTCTGCGTTTGGGTCGGGTGGTGTGGGATGCCCTGCGTGTGTGCACATAGGCATGGAAGCCGGTAAGTCCTGCTAATTTAGGGGTTGTTTTCCGAGTCTGTTTTCTATAACTCTGTAGGCTTAATACAAATAAAGAATGGACTTAAGTTTCCTGTGAGAAGCGCAGAACAAACGCTGAGCGTGGGATTTGAATGCAGAAAGGTGAAAACACAAATGTATACAGAAACAGCAAGTCAAACAAGCTGAAAAAATATTCTAAGGTTGATTTAACAGAGCAGTGAACTCAAAGCTGTCTAATCCCTTTAGCAGCCTTCTTTAAAGAGCAGAAATAAAAGAATTTTTGACATTTATTTTCTTTTGCTATCTCTCCCAACTCTTTCCAATAATGCTCAAGGATAAGGGCTGAGTTTAGCACAAGGGCAAAGTGTTACAGCTTTAGTTAGATGTGCTTTCTAAATAGCAAAAATCTTCATTTGTCATTAGATTAAAGTGAATCTGAATTCCCAAAAGGAGATTACTGTTAAACTTCTCCAACTTGGGTACCTGGCACCTAAATCTCGCTTGAGGCACTGAAATAACAGGCTTGGGTTAGAAAGATACTGAGCCAGGTCAGGCTCTGCATTTAAATCGCTTAAGCACTCTTAAAATCTGGCTATTCATTTTGATGCCTAGATATGGATTTCTGGGCTTAATCACCAACCTTTGCATTTCAAATGTTTGACCTTTGTTTTCTTTACTAAGTATGCAGACAGAGTGGCCCCCATTTTTTTCCTTTTTTTTTTTTTTTTTTTCTGGTTTTACACAGCTAGCAGATAAGACTTGAAGTCTAACTACCGAGAAATAGGGATCTTTGAAAAATAGCGTTTTTCTGTAACTTTTGAAACTTACAAAAAAGGGAATATTTACTTTTTTCATTCGTGTGAACATGATCCATCATATATCTAAACCCCACAATCAGTTGGAAAAAGACTCACCCAAACTACCCCAAACCTTTGCCCTCTCTTAATCTGTGTACAAGAGTTTTTTTTTTTTTCAGATGTGCTTTCTCTTCCCCCCCCCCAAAAAAAAAAATAGAGGCAATTGATAGGCTCATAAACAAATACCAAACATTAAGTCCTAATCTCCATATAGAAGAGCCTGACCCTTTTTATGGAGCAAGAGGGTAGAGGGAGGAAACGGGGCCAGGAGTTTGAGGTTTAATGCTTATTAAAGTTTTAGTGGGTGGGAAAATGCAATCAATAAATTTTGTTTAATGCCTGGAAACTGGTGTTGGTTTTCACTAGCTACACTGGAGAGTAGTTTTCATTTTGAAACTAGGACACTCGTAGTTGGAATGACAATTAATGTGGAGTGAATATGGTCCCAGTTGGAAGCCGATTTTTTGAATAGCACGAAAACTCCCCCCACCTCCCCACTTTGGCTCCGGAGTGGGGTAGCTTCCGTTTTTAATTAGCAAACCAGGCAAAATTTAGCTCATTGTGCCTTTCTGCTCCTTTGGCCCAGTGGATAGCTTGGATTTCTCCATCTTGCTGTCATGAGGCTGTTCTTTTTATTTTTTTTTTCTTCAGTTTTAGTGAGAGGAGGAAGGGGGGGCTTCAGGATACTTAGGATTAAAGTCATTGTTCGGGGGGTATTTGCAGCCAGCTGCCTGCATTAAATGAAGATTAGAGGAGCACGCATTAAAAGTGGAAGGGAAATGCAGAGGAGCTGGGATTTGGGAGCTGCATAGCTGTGAACCGAAGGGGAAAGGTTGGGGCTTCACGGCAAATTTTTTCTGATGCCATGTGATCTCAAAGCCCACTTCAGAAAAGCTTCACAAATAAGTGCCAGGGCCAGGCTTGCTTGGGAATCCTAAAGGGAGCAGGAGTCTTTGCATCCCTTGAAAACTTCCACTGGGGTAAAGCTAAATTTCTGGGCCTGGTGAACTTAAATATTACTTAAAAATTGATCATTGAGAGCACTGAAGAGGTGGTCAGCATTTTGCCAGAATTCATTCACTAAATACCTGAAAACCCACCCTGGAGGTCAAAACTCCACAAGTAATGAATTTTTAAAGAATTTTAAGGAGGAAATGATGGTGTAGAGGAAGAGCCCAGAAAAAAAAAATTAGTCAGCAATGTGTGCTTAATCTTTAAGGATTTCTTAGAAAGTTTAAAAATATTTCCAAAGATTCAGTTTCTGTCATTTCGTTATGCTTTGTGGAGCAGTTATTTGTGTAATCTGTCGTTCTTGTTGCAAACTTTGATAACTGCATGGTGTGGGTCACCTAGAAATCCCCACCAGGTAACCTGGGTGAGTGAAGCAGGAAGGATGGCATGGTGCACTGATGCTGAAGATCCTAGGTTTGCTCAGAGCCTCCACAGTTTAGCGTGACCCAGTTCCGCTCTGGCTGAGGTTGAGGACAAGCTTTGTCCAGTCTGTTGGGATACTGGGAAGCGTCAGTCTGTGCCTCAGTTTCCATAGCTGCATCCAGTGGCATTGGAAAAGGATTGTTGTGGTTGCTTGCTTGCTGCAATGATAAGGTTTTTTTCTACTTCCTTGGGCATGA